GGGGGGCCAGATGGGTTGGAACACAAGTTTCCAGTTTGACCTTTGGCCCGTCACCCCTTTCAGTAGCAAAGCAAGCCAGCAGTCACACCCCCAGACGGCAAGCCGCTGCAGCAGCTCCGCGAAGGCCGCACATTGTTCATACTTCTGAGCCTCCAGGGGAACAGGCCTGTCCTTGGGCCCGTAGGACCTTTCCCGATGAGGAAGATGAGGGTACGGAATGAGAGAAGCTGGGGTCAGCAAACCACGGCCCTCACCAGCCTGCCACTGTTGTTGTTATACATTTTTTTTATTGATTTCAGAAAGGAAGGGAGAGGTAGAGAGAGATAGAAACATCATTGATGAGAGAGAATCACTGATCCACTGCCTCCTGCACATCCCACAATGGGGATCAAGCCTGCAACCAGGCATGTGCCCTGACCAGGAATCGGACCATGACCTCCTACCAAGCCTTCTCTTTTCTGTTTAATAAGAGCTTAATTTGCTGGAACCTGTACTGATATTGTCCAAGAAAATGGGATAAGCCAATCATTCAGCCAGTTTCCTGCACCGCCACAATAGTCGAAACAATGAGGTGGAAATGGCATACACGTGAAGCCAATTTACCATCTGACTGGACAGACTGGGGCAACTAATGAATTACAGAAACATCATCATTATCGAGCTGTGCGTGAGAGCTCAGAGTAAAAGGAACTCAACAGGGCTTGAAATGGTCAGAAATGACTTTGGGGAAGTGAAACCTCAAGTCAGGCTCAAAGGGTGGAGAGTCCCAAGTGGGAGGCAACCATGGAGTCCAGAGACAGGTAGGAGTAGGGCATGCCTTTAGGACATGCACACAGCCAACCCCACAGCTGTGGGAGGTGGAGGAAGAAAACCCCTTGCAGGGTCAAAAGACTCTCAAATGTCCAATGTAAACACAACTTTAGGAAACCTGGGTTTCTGGGCAGAAGAAGAGAGCAGAAGGAGCCCACCGCTGAATAATCTTAAAATGGAAGATCAAGAAGCCTGTGTGTTGCCGAACCGGTTTAGCTCAGTGGATAGAGCGTCGGCCTGCGGACTGGGGGGTCCCGGGTTCAATTCCGGTCAAGGGCATGTACCTTGGTTGTGGGCACATCCCCAGTGGGGGGCATGCAGGAGGCAGCTGATCGATGTCTCTCATCGATGTTTCTAGCTCTCTATCCCTCTCCCTTCTTCTCTGTAAAAAATCAATAAAATATATTTAAAAAAAGAAAAACAGAAGCTTGTGTGTTAATCCAAGTACAAGAATCTTGGCAACTGAGATGATGGAAGTGACAAAGAAAAGGGGATGAACAGAGGGAGTGATGTCAAAAAAAAGAAAACACAAAAACAAATCAAAAACTTGGTGTCAAAAGGACCTCTAAGAAAAGAACCCCCTTCAGAAATAAGTAAGGATGTGGCTTGACAAGACAAATAATGTCAAGGTCTGAATATGTTAAACCTGAGCTTGTCCTGGCACGTCCGTTTGACAAGAGACCACCACAGACCACCGGGAATGTGAGGAAGTAGCTCTATGAAACAACACAGCAGAGAAAAATGTGTACGTTGAAATAGAAGGGTGGTGAGTGAAACTGGAATAGCATTTATTTTGCAGAAATCCCTCACTTCCCTAATCACTAATAAATATTACTTTTAGAATGCAACACATACAGTCTGACGGTGATGGCTTAGGGGGAAAAAGGGTACAAAACAAAAAACCTGTCAAGGTCTGAATATGTTAAACCTGAGCTTGTCCTGGCACGTCCGTTTGACAAGAGACCACCACAGACCACCGGGAATGTGAGGAAGTAGCTCTATGAAACAACACAGCAGAGAAAAATGTGTACGTTGAAATAGAAAGGTGGTGAGTGAAACTGGAATAGCATTTATTTTGCAGAAATCCCTCACTTCCCTAATCACTAATAAATATTACTTTTAGAATGCAACACATACAGTCTGACGGTGATGGCTTAGGGGGAAAAAGGGTACAAAACAAAAAACCGATGTGGGAAGCCGCCTATTGTCTTCTCTAGCAGAGAGGTGTGGACAAGGAGCCCGGAATGCTGGTGACCATTGAGCTCTGGCTTAGGTCAGGACGAGACACCCACTGTTCAGTCCAGACAGTGGTAGCCGAAGCAGCTTCCCCACCAGATAGTCACATAAATCCTTACGGATAAGATAGTCTGTCTGTTACTGGAACCTGCCTGCCTAAGGGCTACAGGTGGATCCCAAACTGAGTAAGAGGACCGCAAGGCCTGAGCCCAAGCAGAGTCCTTCCTCTTGGGATGGGCCCTCGCCTGGCCCCCCAATTTCCAAATTATGATTTCTTGTCTTATCTCTTTCATTTGCGTGCGGCCCCTCTTCCAGAGCCTGAACCCTGAACCACGCGGGACCTGAGGAGGCATTCACAAACTAAAAGAAATACGCAAAAATAATCACAATGGTGTCATTAGGTGTTGACATCGAGGATATTTTCTTCTTAATTTTTGGAAGTTCCTAGGTTCTACTTATTTTTTTAAATAACAAAGACAATTTCATTAGAAAATGAGAGTAAATATTTTTAAAAAAGAATGATCCCCTCTAAGCATTTGTGAAAGCTCTTATAGTTGTACACCTAAACAGTGAATTTTATTGTATGTAAATTAAATAAAAATACCATTAACGATATTTTACACCCACTATAAATTTAGTTTTGACAATACCAAGTGAAAAAAATGTTTATCAGTAAGAGTGCAAGTTCTT